TCTCTCTTCTCTCTTCTCTCTTCTCTCTTCTCTCTTCTCTCTTCTCTCTTCTCTCTTCTCGCTCGCCCCCGGCCAGGCCAATTTATGCCCTGGTGCGCTCGCCCTACTGCAAAAAGGTCAACAGCCCAATTCCGGGACCAAAAAAACCCTCCGCGAGAAAAAAGGAATATCGCGATCCACTTTCTTCCGCTCGATCACAAATCATCTCTGGGCGCACTCACTCCCCCCACTGTGCCACGCCACGCTCTGCTTTCCACACTTCTTTTTCCTATCCCCCACTGCAACTTCCCACGACCCGCCGATCCAACACTCCGCCCCGTGTCTCCCCCTGGCCCTCTGCAAAATCTCCAAATCCACTAAAGAGATTCCCAGCCGGCTCCGAAGATATTACACAAAAGTATATATATAGATAACCGCTCACCGCACACGGCTCACAGACAGACGCCTCCCCCTTCGCCTGCTTTCACGTGGAACCCCTCGCTGCCCAGCGCCTCACAGTCACCGTCACTTTTCCCACCATGAGTTCCAAGTCTGCGGCCGCCATTCTCCAGCGGCAGTTCAAGGACCTCACAGACCCGAAGAAGGGCATCCCATACTTCCACATCGAGCTCGACAACGACAACATTTTCTACTGGAAGATCGGCATCATGGTGCTCAACAAGGAGTCGCTCTACTACGGCGGCTACTTCAAGGGCCGAATGCGGTTCCCCGCCGACTACCCGTTCTCGCCGCCAAGCTTCGCCTTCACGCCTCCGATCTTCCACCCGAACGTGTACAAAGACGGCCGGCTCTGCATCTCCATTCTCCATGAGGGCGGCGACCCGATCTCCGGCATGCCGGACGCCGAGACGTGGTCGCCGGCGCAGACCGCGGAGTCCGTGCTCATCTCCATCATCTCGCTCTTGGAGGACCCCAACTTGAACTCGCCAGCCAACATGGACGCGTGCTGGTTGTTCAGGAAGAACTTCGAGTCATACAAGGAGAAAGTCTTGGACGGCGTGGAGAAATCCAAGAAGGACATCCCCAAGGGCTTTGTCTTTCCCGATCCCGATGACAGTGCTCTCAGCGGGAACGCTGCGAACAAGGAGCTCGAGCAGGCGCAGTACGACGAGGAGTTCTGGTACGACAGCGACGAGGAGAGCTTCGACGAGGAAAGCCTCATGGATGATATCAACGACGAAGAGGACGACGAGGTAGAAGAGGAGGACGACAGTGACGTGGAGATGGGGAAGTAAGTACGTGGTCGCTTCTTTATTGCCTAATACACTTGCTCGCTGCCGCCGGCGAGCCGCACATCCGGCTTTGTCGAAGCCTGCGCCGTCGCTCGCCAAAGCGTCCCCGTCCACGGGACCTGGATAACCCGCCGGTCCCTGCGCACGCGCACGAAACTACTTGTATACATACGTCGACAGCACTGGAGAGCCAGCTGCTTGAGGCTCTTCTAGATTTGATTCTGTTATTTAGCCCCGAAACACACGATACATGTGACATCTCCTTCTTCAGCTGGAGCGATACCCGCTCAATCCAGCAGTCAACGCCGCGGTGACCAGGTCCAACCGCACCTTGGCCTGCGTGTCGGCGTACGCCGAGGAGTAGAAGAGAACCGTATAGAAAGTGGTGGGGGGCTCGTTCGTGCCCGACGACGTCGTGGCAAACTTGCGGATCACGGCCCTCAAGGAGGTGTCCACGTCCAACACCGCCCAGTGGTCGAGACTGGCGTCCCCGGTTTTTGGCTGCTGCTTGAAGAGGTTGGTCGTCATGAGCGAGTACATGCGGAGGGCTTCCGGGGATATGCAGCTCTCGGCGTCTGGCGACCCCACGGTGATGAGAGGTAGGCCCCGGGCAGAGAGCAAGGACACGAATAGGACTGCATCCGGGGCGTGCTCCAGCGACCCGGCGTGCGTCACGGCCTGGGCGAGAAGCTTGGAGATTTCTCTTTGTTGGAGCATGGGCAAAGACTGCGGGGGCGTGTCAAATGGTGGGCCTGGGTTTTGGGGATCGTGTATAGATAGTTGTGCCCGGGCCCAGCGGCGCGCATGTCGATAACGCTCAGTGCGGCAGCGAATACTAGGACCCCGATGGTTCTGGATGGGCTGCGGCTAGGCGCAGACGGCGCGGGGCGGCGGGCGGCTTCACGGGCTTCAAGCCGCATGCCGTGTCATTTTATATATTGCGGCTTGTGTTTTGCAACTTGCGGGCCACTCGAATAATAACTGAGGCAGTGTCTTTGGATTAGTGCGACGAAGCTGGGGTGGGCCGGGCCAAAGCAGGCGGGCACAGGAAGGCGCGGCCATGGCAGGGACCGGCCCTGCACTTCTTATTTATGATGGAGTGATGCTGAGGCCCCCGCTGTTTCTGGCCAGGTCTATGAAAAAAGGCCAAGTCCATAGCAAAGAAAGGCCAGGTCCATAACAAAGAAAGGCCAGTACTATGAAAAAAGGTCATGTCTATGAAAATAGGCCATGTCTATGAAAATAGGCCAGTACTATGAAAAACGACCAGGGCTATGACAGAAAGAAAGCAGTTGTCGGGGACGAGCCGTGCGTCTACTGGTCCCGGATGTTCTACTGCTCAATATACACCCATCGCACCCGCGCCCCGGCCGACGGCTCCAAAGATGGTGGACTGTTGGAGCAGCTTTGTAGGATGGGTCTTTTGTGTGTATAATTGTGTGCTGTGTACTTTATGTGTTTTGTAATTACGTATATCTTGTGCTTTGTGTGTTGTACATTTTATATATCTTGTGCTTTGTGTGTTGTACATTTTATATATCTTGTGCTTTGTGTGTTTTGCAGAGATTGCTTTGTGTGGCTCGTGTTCCTGTCGGTCTTCTATTCTTTCTACCTGATGGCGCTAGGCCTTTTCGCCCTTTGTTGATCGGTGGCAGACGTCCAGAGAACAGGGCCGTGCGGCCGTTCCGCTCGTTTCGCAGCCGCTCCTGCCTGCAGCCCCAGGGCCGGCACGATTTCAAGAGGCACGAGCCCCGGGTTCTTCAGGCAGCCAGAACGGCGCCACTTTCACCGATATGGAGCCCGAGAAAAAACAATCACCACCAGAGACACCGCCGCAAACACCGCCAACACCAAGAGCCCTCGGACTGCAACGAGATCCAGCCATGGCCCGTGTCACGTGACGGCCCTGCCCCCACACGCGTCATGGACCTTGTCGCGCACGCAGTCCGTAGGGCCGCCGGGCATGGCGACGGGGCGCCGCGCACCCCTAAACCAGCATTCAACCAAGCCCAGCATTGCACCTAATAAAACAGCATTGCACCCGATAAACCTAGCATTTCAACTGGCAGAAGTGGCACTGCAGCTCATAAGCTACGCCGGAACTCCGGCTTTTTTTGGCGTCTCCCGCCCACCGCGCCGTTGCCGTGTGTCCAGTTCTGGCCTCCACATGTCTGCTGAGATGTTTACTAAGATGTCTACTAATACTTCCACTGTGATGTCTGCTAATACTTCCACTATGATGTCTACTAAGACTCCCACTATGGTGTCTACTAATACTTCCACTATGATGTCTACTAAGATTCTTACAAAGAAATCTACTAATACTTTTACTAAAATTTCTACTAAGGTTTTACTAAGATGTCTGCTAATACCTCCACTATGATGTCTACTAAGACTTCCACTATGATGTCTACTAATACTTCCACTATGATGTCTACTAAGATTCTTACAAAGAAGTCTACTAATACTTTTACTAAGATGTCTACTAAGATTCTTACAAAGAAGTCTACTACTAAAACTTTTACTAAAATTTCTACTAAGGTTTTACTAAGATGTCTGCTAATACTTCCACTATGATGTCTACTAAGATTCTTACAAAGAAGTCTACTAATACTTTTACTAAGATGTCTACTAAGGTTTTTTAAGATGTCTACTAAGACTTCTACTGAGGTGTCTACTAAGACTTCTACTAAAATGTCTACTGATACTTCCACTATGATGTCTACTAAGACTTCCACTATGATGTCTACTAAGATTCTTACAAAGAAATCTACTAATACTTTTACTAAAATTTCTACTAAGGTTTTACTAAGATGTCTGCTAATACTTCCACTATGATGTCTACTAAGACTTCCACTATGGTGTCTGCCAAGATGTCTACTAATAGGCCAGGCGGCGCCGGCGCTACACGTCCTGTGCGGTTGGAGGTCGCGCCCCATTTTGCGCCGCCATGCCTGCGACGCGAACCTGCTCCATTCAGCGACCCGCGCTCTGCCTATGTGCCTGTCGGGCCTGTCTTCCCACCGCGGTCTTTTACCACTATAGCCCTTCTCTCCCAGAAAACAGAGCCCCAGCTCCGCCAGCCACCACGCCCGTTTCTTTGTTGCCTATCTCTTGTGACCCCCACGCCCGTCCTCACAAACCCCGGGACCCCTTCAAATAAGGAAAAAAGAAAGAAGAAAAGCACCGTCCTCCTGCCCTTGGTGAGCGTAAACAACCGTCCATTGTCCGTCATTCCTCCCCCACAGCTCCGCCATGGACCAGAACAGAAAAAGGTCCAACTCAACCACTCTCCAGAGGAGAATGCCCTTGGCCGAGACCTGTGGCAACGTGCCCCTGCCCGTGCTCAAGAAGCAGAAAACGAGGGCGCTTGTGGCGCCCAAGTCCACGCTAAGAACCGGCCTCTGGAAGGAAAACGTGGACGCTGCGCCCGACTCGGCCTCCCGCACCTGCGCCAGTGAAGACAGGCTGGCATCCGCCACGTCCGCCACGTCGGTGGCTTCCACGGCGGCCAAGTCGGCGCGGCTCGTGGGCGACGAGTTGAAAAGCTGGCAGACGTCGTGGAGAAAAATCATGCGCGAGTCGGTGGTCTACTTCGACACCCAGGGCTGCGACTCTAGCAACGCTGTGCAGCAGCAGGAGCTCAGAAGGGCGCAGCGGGTCTTGAAGCTGGTGGGCTGCGTGATCGTGCCGTTCTACGACCGCGACGTCACTATCATCGTCAGCAGACGCGGTTTTTCCGCCGGCAAAACGTACCCTGTCAACGACATCTTCCACGACGCATCAGCATTAAAGACCAAAGTCTGGGACTATGAGAAGGTCTTCCGCTTCTTGAAAAACTTGGGGGTGTCTGAGACAGCCGCGCACGAGCGCAGCGGGAACCTATCGCATCTCTTGAAGGAGGAAAAGATCTTTGGTTCCAACGACAGGGACCCCACTGCCAGACGAGACGACTTGTACTACCTCGAGAAAAACTTCATCTACGTCTACGATCTTTCTCAGGCGGTGCGCCCGATCATAGTCAAGGAGTGGCTGAGCAGCTCCTACCCTTCTTTTCATCTCACTCTCGACGGGAAGTGCCCTTTCATCCTTGACGAGTCCGAAAACCTGGACAGGAAAAAACTACGCCGGGCGCAGAAGTTCGAGGCCGCCAAGGAGTACAGAGAACTTCTCAAGCAAGCCTCTTACATGATCGCCTCGACGAAAAGCAAAATTGTTTTGGCAAACCACGCGTTTGTTGAAACAAGCACCAGCACAGATGGCTGCGAGGGAGAAGCGAATGCCTCAAAGAGCGAGAGCTCGTCCCATGCAAATGACACCGTGGTGGAGGAAAACGACGGTCTTGCCGAAGACGACATCCTCGGAGAGCTCAGTAAAGCCGAGTTTTTCAAACCACCCCTGGTGCTAACGAGAAACTCCTCCATCATACAGCCTTTCCGCAACCAGGCGCAGAACTCCAAATTCTATGATGTGGCGGCCTCGGGGTACAACGGTGCGTCTAACGCCATGCAGTTTTCTATGGACTCGGCTCTCAATAGCGTTGCCGTCCAAAGTAATCATCAAGGCAATGGGCTCGGGCCCACCATGTCCCTGGTTCCTTCGAAGAATTTGAATAATCTCAAACGACGTATTTTCATGAAACGTCAAATGAGTAAAGTCGATGACCAGAAAAGAGAGGCGGAGTCTAGACCCGGCTACTGCGAAAATTGCAGAGTCAAATATGATCATTTCGAGGACCACATCACCTCGAACAGGCATCGCAACTTTGCATGTAATGACAAGAACTTCAAGGATATAGATGACTTGATTGTTGCTCTTAATGAAAGCAAGTCCATGGGCTACGTGTCGTCAAATGGGGATTACAGCTTCGCTGACTAGCCTGAATGATCAAAACAAAACTCCTGAAAGTTGGCAGAGAGAGTGTGTTTGTGCGCATTCAGTGTCAAAACCAAGTCGGTTTCGCTCGCGTATTCTCTTTAAATAAAGCATACATCATTAATAATATTAGCATTCGAAAAAAAAAAAACGTTGTACAGAGTATTTGAGATAAGATTCGCCCCATGAAACCGCGCATACATGCTAAAGTGCGCGAGCCTCACCTCGAGGTTTTCCCAAGTCTTCTCGCGAAATTTCACACAAGATTTACAAGATAACTAAAGCGCATCTCAAATGCACATTCTTCGGAACTTGGTTCGTAACAGGTGCCTGGGTAATGTCTGCATCCCACGAGCTAACTTGCTGACATTCAAAGATCTACCAAAAGTTGGAAGCAAGAGGGCAAACGAATCGGCCAGTGAGACAGGTGCTAAAAAACCGAATAGATTTGCCGATTTATATCTGAAGAAAAGTGGCGGCCACGCAGGAGGCTATCAAAATCTGAGACCCAACAGGCTGTATAGCCAGAGTGACTCGGCACAGGGCCCCAGAAAAAATTACAATGATCAGAGATTCCCAAGTCCCCAAAGGAACACAAATGACAATAAAGAGAAACTGTTCCTTGAGTACAACCGCATCAGACAGAAGTTGAATGAGACTCATAAGATACAGCAACAGCAAAAAAATGCATCAGGTGCCCAAAGGAATCAAACATCGAAATCAAATAAAGGGCAATACCGCCCAAACAAACATTCATCACATCCCGTTACAGAAAAAATCAAGATCACAATCCCGACATTCGTGACGGTGGCAAACTTGGCAACAATTATGAGTGTACCATTATCTCGCTTATTGAAGAAGTTAGAAGTTCTTGGTTTTGAAGGAATGACACACAACTATATTTTAGATAAAGAAAACGCATCTCTTGTGGCTGATGAATACGGGTTTGATGTTACCATGAGCGACGATAGTGCAGATGCAGACTTGTTTCCTCCCCCAGAAAAGCCAGAAAAATTGAAGTCGAGGCCACCAGTTGTCACTATCATGGGACACGTCGATCACGGAAAAACTACCATTCTTGATTATTTGAGAAAGTCTGTGATTGTCCAAGGTGAATTCGGGGGTATAACCCAACATATTGGTGCGTTCTCGGTGACCACTCCTATTTCCAAGAGAAAGATTACGTTTTTGGATACCCCAGGACACGCGGCGTTCTTAAGCATGAGAGAGAGAGGTGCCATAGTGACTGACATTGTGATCTTAGTTGTTGCTGCTGATGACTCAGTTATGCCTCAAACTATCGAGGCAGTCAAGCATGCGAAAAAGTCTGGAGTGCCAATGATCGTTGCCATCAATAAGTGTGATAAACCAGGCATCAAAGTTGACAAGGTGTTGAGCGACCTTGCTAGACATGGTGTCGATATTGAGGACTATGGTGGAGAAACACAGACTGTTCAGGTGAGTGGAAAAACTGGGTTGAACATGGATAAACTCGAAGAAGCAGTGATCACTCTCTCGGAGCTCAGTGATTTCCAAGCAGAATATGATAGTGTTCCAGGAGTAGGCTGGGTCATTGAGTCTGAAATCGTAAAAGGCTTGGGAAACGTCGCAACTGTGTTGGTGAAAAGAGGCACTATCAAGCCTGGGTCTTTTTTGGTCGCTGGCAACACTTATTGCAAAGTGAGAGGCATGAAGGATGAACACGGTAAACCAGTCAAGAAGGCAGGACCATCTACGCCCGTCCAGATATGGGGGTGGAAAGAACTCCCTCACTCTGGGCTGCAGATACTCGAGGCCAAACTGGAGCAGATTTGTAAGAAAGTCATCCTGAATCGCGAGAGTCGCGAGAAGCAAATTCAAGCTGCAAGGGATATTGATCTTATCAACGAAAAAAGGCAAAAGGAAGTCAAGGAGTTGGAGAGGCAAGAAAAAATCAACGAACTCAAATTGGCAGGGTTGGATGCAAGCGAACTACTTGAAAGTGAGGATGACCAATCGAAGGTGATCAAATACATTGTGAAATCGGATGTTTTTGGTTCAGCAGAGGCGATCAAAGAGAGTCTTGATGGTCTTGGAAACGAGGAGATTCGTGCACAGGTTATTTCGCATGAAGCCGGTGTTCCAACAGAATCAGACTTGGATATGGCAGATGCGTTGGGCGCACAAATCCTCTGCTTCAATGTCAAAGTCCCCAAACCTATACTGGCAAAAGCTGACAACTTGAGTGTCAAGATACACGAGCAAAACGTCATTTACAGGTTGATTGAGGAGGTCACGGCCGAACTCACATCGAAATTGAAGCCGCACATCGAAATTAAGGTTCTTGCAGATATTGAACTCCGCAATGTCTTCAATATTACCGGCAAAAATAAAACGATGACCAAGGTTGCAGGGTGCAAGGTCAACAGCGGAATATTGAAGAGATCCTCGAAGGTGCGCGTGGTAAGAAAGAAGGACGTTATTTATTCAGGGACGTTATCATCCCTAAAGCATGTCAAACAGGATATTAGCGAAGCTGCTAAGGGATCTGAGTGTGGACTCTCCTTCCAAAACTGGGAAAAGTTTGAAGAAGGGGACAAAATCGAGGCCTATGAGGAGATTGAAATTCCTCGGTTCTTATAAGTTTTTACTCGCCATCCCGTGGCAACTTGCTGATATGTCATATTGTATATAGTGACAAAGTTGCGTCGAAAATTCAGGAAGATTCTACCGAGACGCGACAGTCGTAGTGACTCAATGGGCTTTAGTATGAGCCATTACAAGAAATACAGGGAAGTGGTCTTTTTTATTATCATTCAATCGAAGATCTGTTGAAAGTACACCAAACATGCCTTGGTGCTCGTGTCTTATATCCTCGTCCACAGTATTTCTCGTAGTTCGCAGTTTCCTCCATAGAGCATAGCTCGAATAGATCGACTCATCGCAACGCATATATTACTGAAGTGATCGTTCAAAACAACCATCATTATGTCTAGCCACGACGAATATTCCTCTGACGAAGAAGACTTGTTTGATGAAAATTCAGAAGTAACTCTTGGTTTTACGGATGTGGCTTTCGATGAGGAGGACGAGGAACCCACGATAGAAGATACGTTTATTGGGGGACAACCCATCTGGCTCCACCCAAACTCAAGACCACAGCCCCAAGATTTGCAGTGTGGAAATTGCCAAAAAGATATGGCATTACTCCTTCAAGCGTTTGCGCCTTTTCACGGTCAGCCGTACGATAGGGTGATTTACGTATTTGCGTGTAAGTCCTCAAGACAATGCTCTGGAAAGAAAGGCTCTGTAAAGGCCATCAGGGGTGTTTGTAAAGACCCTAGCAAGATTGCCGAAATTGAGGAGGCACAAGCTAGGAAAGCTCAAGAGCTTTTGGATGCAAAGTTAAGACTTGATGAGAAAAAAAAGCTACACATCGAGTTAACAAAAGACTTATTTGACGCCACAAAACCCTCGGGGGAAGCTAAAAACCCTTTTGGAGACAATCCCTTTGGAGGAAACCCATTTGGCTCGTCTGAAAAAAATTCTTTTGGTGGAAATACCCCCAACCCTTTCGACAAACACACAGGTGACGAGCCTGATTCTGCAAAGAACAAGCTAGATTCTCAAAACCCTACCTATGCTCTGGTGTCTAAAACTGTTGGGACTGAAAAATTACCTACCACTACTAAGCCTCCTCAGATGGCTCTTCCGGAATACCCAGGATACTTCATATTCACCGAGCCCGAAAAATTGAAGAAAATGACGGTGGAGGTCGAGTTGGAGAAATACAAAGATCTCATCGATAAGACTGAGCCCAGTGATGTTAAGAATGAAAGAAGCATGTCCAGTTCATCTGCCACGTCCTCTGCCGCTTTGAATCCAGAGAATAGCAAAATCGCTAGCATGTTGAATGACGAGCATTTTGAGAAGTTTTCCAGTACAGTGGGACATAATCCCTCACAAGTTCTTCGGTATAGCTTGGGCGGTAGACCACTCTTGTATAGTGGCAAAGATGATGTCTCCAAAGCTTTTTCATCATCAACTATCCCAGACCCCGCCTATAACCCTTCATCGAGCCGCCAGTTCGAACTTCAGTTGATGCCAAAAGCAATTATTGATCTCGAAAAAAATAATTCTGATCTGGTTGCCGATATTTTAAGCGGAATGTCGTGGGGAACTATCATTGTGGCGACTGACACTGCGGATTTCATGCCTTCATTGGATGAGAACCATATCGGATATGTTGTTGAGTATTGTGGAGTACAATGGGAGGAGAGTATTTAGAAACTCGCAGCAATGTTACATTTCATAGTCCCGTTACTAAAGTGTAGTTTGAGTGAAATAAATAAGACACTCATGAAAGGTATCTTAACACCATTCTTGTTATCTTGTGGAGCAAAATGTAGATAAACATTATGGTATACTAGATTAGTGCTTTCAGCTCACAATTATTTGAGAGGGCTCCGGAAATATATGCCTCGACCGAAGCATTTCGAAAGCTTTGAGAAGCTGCAAGGTGATTCAGGTGCTTTCTAGTCTCCACCGTGTTGTATTTATAGACAATGATGTGGCAAGCCATGGCTTATTGATTTATAAATTAATATTTTGTTCATACAATTGATTTGAAAATACCACATGTTTATGACTTACGATAAAGGTAAGGATCAAACACATGACCATAGTAAACAAAAATCTGACGAATATGCCACGCATATTTGCCAAGTTGACTTCTCACTTGATGAATTGCTCGCTAATTCGTTCTCAGAACCCCAAGACATAACATGAGTAACCTTCCTTACAAGGACCTTACCAGAAAAGTGTGGAAATGAAAAAGGAAAATTGCACAATCGCAAAGAAAATCCTTCCTCTTTAATCTGTTTATTTTACTAAATCCCGACTAAAAGTTTTCGATATTCAAAACATATGACACCTTTTGCAGAATTTGTTTCCTTTAAACTTTGCTGTAAAATAGAAATTCAAAAATTCAGAGTTCTCTAAAACAACCAAGAACAACCATATACTTTGGGAATGGTGGCTGGGTCGCTAGTCTTCGAAAAAATGAGATAGGAAGCTTAAAAACATTTTTTTGATGTCGTCGGGTGATTAGACTCAACAATCATTCAGCGCGGCCGAGCGGTGTTTCGGATTAGATCACTGTTTATTCCCTGCGCACAAATATGACTGCAGACAGAGACGAATATCAGAATGACCGTTGCTTATTGGGCAAGAGATATTTTAGAGGCAAAGTATTCACTAGTAAGCCAAGGGTGATATCTTACAAAAACTCACAAAGATGGATGATTTATCAACTATTTTACTAGAATTACATGGCATCACCCCTATTTCCTTATCTTTTATCAAAATAGGTAAACTCCATGAGCCCTTTTGGCGGAGCATGATCTGATATGCCCCGTTGCTAAATATAATTAGGATGGCAAAGGCACGAACGTAGGACGGACTCAGTGATAAAATACCACCGAGCTAGTTGAGACTGTGAGAAATATGTCTTCGGAAACTTTTTAAGAAATACTACCAACTTCCTTTTTGATAAGAGTTACTTAGTATTCAACAGGGTGTCCTTGTTTATGTTCGTAGAGAAGGGTCTCAAGTTTTAACTGGGTAAATGTATGTTTGCATATTGTGACTGCAGTGTTCCTAATCTCATTCACGTCGCGAGAGGCGAAGAGAGACATCTCCTTCCGAAAAACACTGACTGTCAAAAATTAAAGATTGTATAGCGCAGGCTGGTGCTAAAGAAGCAGAACCGGCTAACAAAAGGCTCGAAGAAATGTCGATACTTATCTATAGCATGGGAAGAGGATGTTATTTAAAACTTACAGTTCATTATGAATATTGATTATTTCTCCGCGCTATACAAAGTGGCTTTTTCACCCGTTAGAAGTACGCCGTTGGCTCTGCACTCTCAAAAAATAATACGGAATGAACTAGGTGTGTCATTATAAATATTCGAGGCCTGAAAACTGGGAAATTGGGAGATTGATGATTCTCAGCCTTGTGCAGATCTAGAAGAGGCAACGTTGGCAATTCGAGGACTGTGCATGTTTCTTTTTGAGGCCGCGTGCATCTGCATTCTAAGTCCTGTTTCATGCTGATTATTTACTCAAGAAAACACTAATAGTGTCAGTACACATATTGGAGGAAGTCTCTCACGGAGTTCTCAGCGAAACTACATGCTTGGTGGTGAGAACTATCGTTTTCTCACTATAGCCATGACGTAAGGATGCTGCAATGGATCTCGCCTGCAGGGCTTTCGCGGCGTGCCTGCGGACTTTACCAGCGCAAATTCATGGATGGATTCTAGATCGGTGAGGCTCGGGCCGTCTAATCTATTGTTAGTCGAGCCTGTGAACATTCTAAAAAAACACCCCAAACACTTTCATCTTAATCTGCTTCTCACATGAGTCTCTTGTGCTGGATGAAAATATTCCATTACAAGAGTATAGAGAGATTGTAGAAAATTCTCTGATGGTGAATATATCGTATCAATGTCTCGCCTTCGGAACATTCAGCCACAGCCTCGGCCCGGCAGCAAAGTCCATAATATGACGCATCATTTTGCTTACAACCTACATAGACGCGGTTTAGAACCTACAGATCCAAGGTGCTGCTGCGTGCCTCTACATAAATAAAACTGTGACCTGTGCCACCATTCCTCCCTCGTGCATTTTCCTTTGTTTTAAATTCTTCAAGGATCAATAAAACCACATTGTTATCCATAACTCGCTCCCAAAAAATCGTGAAAATAAAACCACTTGCCAACACTGCAGCACAACCCCAACTCTAAATCGTGAAAAGGCGAGAAAAAAGAAAAAAAAATAGAAAAGAAAATGGTAGACAACAACTCATCCTCTTCCGATGAGGAGCTGAACTACCAGTCCAACTTCAACGTGCCATCAGTGAACTTGGCCCATCTTAGAAAAAAAGATAATAAAATCAATGCTAAATCGAATCTTGCTAAAGCGAAGAAGAAATTCACACCTGGCCAAAAGAATGTGCACTTCCCAAAGAAAAATGCCATGGGTGACTCGGAGTTGGACACGTCCACACCAAACTTCTCCTCTGAACGGGTTGATGCTGACTCTGATCTGGATACGTCCGTTCGTGAAACCCCAGTTGAAGGTTCTGCAAGCCTTCCAAATTTCCGTTTTGAACTCCCCGTGGGTAATGATGGCAGCCTCTCAGATGACAACTCAGATGACTCAAATGAATCCGAAACGGGAGAATTGGTGAATCCGGTCACGGAATACAACGACGATTCTTCCGATGAAGATATCAAGGATGCTCACCCAGGAGCTGAAATGGATATCACAGACATCAGACACCTGCGCTCATCACAGTCTTCTAGAACAAGCTCAGAAAAGAAAAATGCCCTAAGCGGCATTTTCCGCCGGATGTCTTTGGCTGAACAAGTCGGGGACTCATCTGCTCCTTCGAGATCAGACACATTCTTGGGGAAAGTCATGAACTTTGCCGGGGGTGGGTCTTTGAATGGCGGAGGACTAACCCCGGGAGCAAACGTTCAAATTGAGGAGCCCCTCGATGCTGAAAAGGAGGTGGGTATGGACCCGAACCAACCTGTGGAAATGAAGAACCTTGACTTTTCTGCTCTTGGAGAGGAGGCGCAGAATTTGATCTACGCACATGCTCCCGATCTCAAGCGTGATAGGGAGACGCGCTCAGATTACTCAGACTATGATTTAAGAACGGACTCAACGGCTCATTTGATTGAGAATGAAAAGCCTGCTGGTAGGTCAAGCCACGATAATGACCAGCCACGCGAAGGCTCCAGCGGAGCTTTCTACCAGCCAAATACAGATTTGTTCCAAGATGATTTCGAGGACGAGTTCAACGATGACGACTATTTTCAAAATGATGGGTACGTTGCTCCTCCGAAACAGGTGCACGCCGGTGTCTTGTCATCGTTGTTGAAGTTGTATCAAAATTCTGGGGATAACAGGTCCTCTTCCACTTTGGGTACATCCATAGGGGGAAACCTAGCCGACGAGCAGTTCATTCCTGGCGAAGGAACCAAACCAGGCCATCGTAACGAGCTAGCACATATGAAGAACATGATGAAACTGGGTCCTAGAAAGCTAGCAGGTAAATTTCATGGAAACAAAAACAAAGCCACCGCCACACCTGAAGCCTATAGCTCAGAGGAAGAAGAGAAGGAAAAGTTAGACGGTGACGCGGCGAAACTTCCATCTTTTCAAAACGCTCGGCCACGAGCACCTAAGATACACAAGCCTGACCCACGAAAAATGGGCAAGAAGCTCAAAAGAAAGGATCAGAAACTCAAGATCACTGTACATATTGCAGATATCTTGCAGAGACAACGCTTTATCATCAGGATGTGTAGGGCTCTTATGATGTTTGGAGCGCCAACGCACAGATTGGAAGAATACATGGTCATGACAAGCCGTGTACTCGAAATCGACGGACAATTCGTCTACTTTCCTGGAACAATGATTGTGGCGTTTGGTGACGCTGCAACAAGAACGTCCGAAGTTCACTTGGTGAGATGTGCACAGGGTCTTAACTTGTCCAAATTGTCTGATACTCACAAAATTTACAAAGATGTTATCCATGACTTGGCCGGCGTGGAGGAAGCTGGTGCTAAACTCGAGGAGCTTTTGAAAAGCAAAAATCTCTACTCGCCTTGGGTTTGCGTATTCCTTTTTGGACTAGGCTCTGCGTGTGTGTGTACCTGGGGTTTTGATGGAGGCTGGTACGATTTTCCGATCGCTTTTGGGATCGGCTCGATTGTCGGCTATTTGCAATTCTTCATGTCCTCAAAATCTCACTTGTACTCTTCCGTTTTCGAGGTCACCTCTTCTATTGTTGTATCTTTCATCGCTCGTGGAATTGGCTCAATCAAAAGCGGAAAGTACTTTTGCTTTGGTGCTATAGCACAGGGCTCTTTAGCTTTGATTCTCCCTGGGTACATCATTCTCTGTGGTTCCCTTGAGCTTCAATCCAAAAATCTTGTTGCTGGGTCAGTAAGAATGTTTTACGCCATCATTTACTCCCTATTTTTGGGATTTGGAATTACTTTGGGTGCCGCGTTGTATGGATGGGTGGATAGCAAAGCCACAAATGCTGCAACATGTGAGACGGGTCATGGGCTTGATGATCGCTGGAGAATCTTGATGGTTCCTCTTTTTTCCATATGTTTGGGCTTGATCAATCAAGCTAGATGGGATCAGCTTCCAGTTCAGACGCTCATCACCGCGATCTCATACATCGGTACTTATTATTCGGGTAAACATTTTGTCAATGTGACCGAATTCACAGCCGCAATTGGTGCTTTTATCATTGGCATTTTGGGTAACATGTATTCCCGAGTTGGTAAGGGAATGGCAGTCAGTGCGATGTTACCAGCAATATTTGTGCAAGTGCCTTCAGGTATTGCATCGCAAAGCACTTTGTTAGCTGGTGTGGAAACAGCGAATAAAATCACAAATTCTTCTTCCTCCAGCTCGGATTCATCAGACTTGAGCTCATTAAGTTTCGGTGCTATCATGGTTGAGGTCTCTATAGGTATCAGTGTCGGGCTATTTGCGGCAGCACTCGTGGTGTATCCATTTGGAAAAAGAAGATCGGGGCTCTTCAGTTTATAGACAAGCCGTATTTAGGTATCCTACTGCAACATATTTCCTTCAAATATCATTATTATTAGGAACTCGTTTTCTGTCCTTGAGTTTAAATTATTTTTGTTCTGATCATTTCGAAAATCGAAACACAGTCTATTGTCGCATGCAGAATAGTTGATCTCTATTAACACTCTCAAAACGGAATGAAATTAAAGGATTTAAGATTATGAAAACAGTTAACGGAAAAAGGATTTCAACATGGGTGATGGGTCCATGGCGGAGGTAGCTCTATCGTCGGGCTATATTTGGAACCTTCTAATAGAATCCCCCTCATGTCAGTATTTTTTTTTTGAAAGAAACGGGTGTCATTGAAGGGATGTAAAACCCCACCACTACGAGAAACTATGAGGAAAAAGAGCAAGGAAGCTTGAGAGCCGCTCTTTGTCACCAGAAGTGCACAATCTCACACTCATAGAGATGGGTTAACTTCTGATCGCTATAGCAGCGTTACAAACACAACCTGAATTCGAATCTTGATGCCCCAATTTCATTATCATGAAAGGGAACATGAGAGCAGTGATTGAATAGATGGACGGCAGTGAGATCCTTTTGCACCAAGCATTCTTAATCTTTTCCAAAACTTTCTCCAGCGTTTCATCGCCTTCACTTCGGGCAATTCACAAGGGAACGCCCCGGGCGAAGAGACGGAAGCTCCTCCTGTTTGCGCCGGCTTGATGAACGAAAAGCTGTAACTTGTATAGCTTCAATCTCATGAGGTTTTATATGTAATCGGCCCTGATGAGGCCCATCAGATATCGTCCAGTCAGTGTCTGCTAGAAGGAACAATAATACTTAAAAACATTTTCCAGATACGTAAGTTGTATCAAAACTCGGCCGTACCCTTCCTTTTTTTTTTTTTGGTAGATTCATCTGATTAAGGGGGCAAAACTATATAACGAATATATATAAAAAACCTTTAAACAGCTCCCAGCTACGTACCAAGTGTCTTAGCTCGGCCCGTCCCCTTCCGTTAGTCACGGCCTGGACAGTCCTCATGGCACGTATCTGTTTACGTATTGGATATTACGTCATCGACTCCTAGGATAGGTCTCCTGTAGTAGTCGCTTCAACTCGGCTGGTTGTAGCGGACTTAAGAACTACAGATTTGTGACTGCAGTTTAAATTTGAGCAAAAAAGTATTGGAAATAGTAAAAATAGCTCTTCAACAAAAAACTGAAATGGAACAATTATTTATTACCAAAATTGATAGCAAAAATATAGAGAACTTATACAACTAAAAGGATATTTTTCACAATAAGGTACTCTGGCCGAGTGGTCTAAGGCGCCAGGGTAAGGTTACCTTACCATACTTTCCTGGTCTCTTCGGAGGCACGAGTTCGAACCTCGTGGGTATCATTATAATTTTTTTGAGCTTTTTTGATAATTGTTTTCCGGTATGAGATCTCAACCCCACAAATGGTCGAACGATATCCCCCACATTTGATTTGACACTATCATTAGAACATATAATGGGACTCAAAAACATATTTCTCAGATCTAAACCTACATTCTTGATCCAAAGCTGTAATGTGTATCAAAAGCGGAGCTTGTCGCTTGTTTCATTTGATGACAGACGGATTACGGTGAGTTTTCCCGAGGATGTTGGAACGGGAGACAAAGCCGAGGAAGATCTCGAAGCTGATCACACTCCCCAAACTCAAGTCACTTTCAGCACAATTTTTCTTAGAGATGCTTGCGAATCTCCAGAATCGGTAGATGTGTCGACTAGGCAAAAATCTTTCACCACGGCACAAGTGGCCAAGAATTTAAAGGTCCACGGAGAGCCCTCAATCGTCAGGAAAAATAACCAGGATCATTTGATTGTTCAATGGAAACACGATGATGGGTCCACCCAAAAATCTTCGTTTAGCGAGCAAGTTTTGAAGAAGTATAAGGATTTCCCAAGTAGAATGGCGGGCAAGTTCTTTATGGAGGATAAGATTTATTGGTCGGAAAAGGAACTCGTGAAAGATATGAAGCTGTTGAATTTAGATTATCACGCTTTTCTTGAAGGAGGATCAACGTTCTCGAAAGCATTGAAAGCATTGAATAAGCATGGTATATGCTTTGTGAATAAAATGGATGATCCATTGCAGAACCCTAAGACTCAGGATCTATGCGAGGCAAATTTGGCGCTCTGGCCTGTGGCTAAAGTGGCAAAAAATTTTGGATATATTAAGCCAACTTTCTATGGAACACTTTTCGACGTGAAGAATGACAAGAATGCAAAGAACATTGCCAACACAAACAAGTTTCTTCCATTGCATATGGATTTATGCTACTATGAATCCCCTCCAGGCCTTCAGCTCCTACATTTCATTAAGAACTCGACGTTGGGAGGCGAGAATGTATTTGCAGATTCGTTCTTAGCAGTATCAAAGATTAGAAAAGAAGACTCAGAGGCATACGAGGCATTGAAGAAGGTACCGATCACCTTTCATTACAAGAACAACAATGAGTATTATTATTACCTCCGTCCTTTAATTGTGGAAGATCCACATCTTGTGGATAATAAAAGCGGCCAGCCACTAGTTAAGGAGGTTAATTATTCCCCTCCTTTCCAAGGACCTTTTGAGGTGAATATCACTTCAACCGAGGACCCCAAACTCTTTGATGACTTCATCAGGGGGATGATTATGTTCGAAGATGCCATTAACGATCGTGCCAACCAATATATCGTGAAAACACCAGAAAACAGTTGTGTAATTTTCGACAACAGAAGAGTTCTTCACTCAAGATTGGAGTTTTCCGATTGCAATGGAGGAGACCGTTGGTTGATGGGGTGTTACGTCGATGGAGATAGCTTCCGCTCGAGATTACGCACTCACATGTCGCCATAGGACACGAGCAATAGAAACCAAGGGGACAGTCCCCCATAAACATCTCAATTTACATATCATTGTTACAAATACACAATTATGCGAATCCCTTTTAAGATTCATGGTAGAATACATACAATTAGTATCCATGCCCTGGACGCCCAGATCTCGTCTTATCACTGACAAGAGACTTGAACGTTTGTTTGAACCCGTTACAAAGTCTCATCATATTAGGATAGGAGAATCCCTTCAAAACAAATCCGTTAACTTCTGTTTTCACGTGCCACGTCGTGATAGGGGTGTTGACATTGACCTTGAATAAGAGCAAGAACCAACCCGGCGCCTTGTGGTCGAAACAGAAGACGTAGGCACTATTTTTGGGGTTCGCTCTTGTATATGACTCCAACCATTCGTGGACTTCTGCCAATGCACCCTCTTGAAATTTTGGATGACGACACATCTCATTAACATGCTTAGCGATAGCCTGGACATGCTGGAAGATTAGTTGATCCAAGTCGGCGTACTTTTTGCGTTCAACGACGTATTCCCTTCCTGTATTGTGTGCCACTTCCTCGACACTCAAATGCTGGAACAAGTTGTTGGCAACTTTCCAAGTAATGTTGAGGTAATTGATGCCTCTAGAAGAAGGTCTGATGACACAGTCACCAACAGACTGAGGAGCCAAATACTCTTCAGCCTGTTTGTGATTGAAGTTGTGGAATAATGGATGCTGCACATTTCTCGTCTTTGCCAACTTGGCATATTCTTTTGCTCTTTCTTTCTCCTTGTCTGAGTTTTCCGCAGCAAAATCCCATTTGCTTGGGTCTTTGAAGAATTTTGTGACAGAGGCTTTTTGGAGGTCTTCTGGGAGCGTGCTAAATGTGGCAGTGAATTGCTCATAATTCACATCTAAAACGACGACCTGGATAACCTGACCTTGGTCGAAGTTTGCTTTCCGTGTGATGTGACCTTCCTCCACAGTGCCTGTGATATTTGAGGTTGTGGAGACTTTTAAAAACTTCACATGCCCATTTTCTTCACGGAAATTTTTACCCACTCTGTTAATCGTCACAGGAGTGATAGAACCTCTAGTAAAGCTCTCCAGCGTTTCGCCTGTCAACATACGAAATACTTCGGAGCTTTCTGGCACGTGGAAAGATCTTCTGAGCTCTTCGTAATTGTTTACGAGCTCTTCCTTTATACTCTGAAGCGTGGCATACTTCTTTTTGCCGAATGTGGATTCTAGCTCTTTACCGAAAGCGGTCAAGTTAAGATCATCGACTTTGCTTACACCCTCTTGCATCAATTGGTAAATGATTCCACCTTGCTCTTCGATGTGCGCCATGTCTTCTTCATCCAAATCAAGAGCATCGGCAGCCATTTTGCGCGCCAAGCTGTAATCTTCGGGGTGAATTCTAGTAGCGTCCAACAATTCGATCGACGAATCCCTGAGAGTGACACCCTCATCAAAAGGTATGTTCAAAAACGAGGAGCAGTTGAAGAAAATATTGGCAGTGGAAAGCTCGTTTTCGATAAGGTCGCTTCGCGTAACTAGCGTTCCCAATTTTGCGGTGATATTTCTGAGTAAACCGGACGCTTTTCTAGGCCCGAGACCCGAAACAAATTGTAACAACTGAGCCGCGTAAGTGTCGCGGAGAGCTTCATTGATTTCGACACCCACCATATTCACAATGTCGACAAAGACAGTCTCATAGACATCTCTCACAACATCGTTCGAAATGTACTTCTGGTGTTCGTAGAAAAAGAGCGATAAGATATCGTCTCCCAAGGAGACATACTCCAACAAAGGGCTTTGAACGTAGCGAGCTAGTCCAACACAGTACTTAACCAAAGTGGGCTTATCAGATAGTTCGACTAATGCTCTCTCAGAGTTTTGGTAGAGACGAGCTGTTTCGTCTTGTCCCCAAATAACTGGAATCAATTGAGGGCTCGTCCCTTCAGGCAAATCATCAATGTTGACGTACATGCTGTTGTTCGAAACAAAGTTCCTCACAATATCAAAAAGTTTCTTTGAGCTCGCACTGAAACCAGACACAACAATGACATCTGGCTTGTTGTTTCTGAGATTCTTTTCGATAAAGACTTTCAATTGGCCTGCAAACTTCTCCTCGCTTTCCCTGCCTCTGGAAGGATTGTTATCCGACTTGAAAAACTCACTCACTTTTCCGGTATCTCTTACGAATGCACCCACAACAGCACTGTCATAGTCGCCCTTACCAAAAGATAATGACAAAACATTGGGCTTTGTACCTTTGTCATAGCCATACGGCGTGAATGGAGCTTGGTCAATCTTTGTCAAGAACCTAGCCCGAAGTTCAGCGGCAATCAATCGTTCGCATTCACGGCGTAGATCTTCCTTGGTGTTGAGAGCTACCATGTTTGTGAGCCTCTTGAATGCAAGATTCAAAGCAAATTCTCTTTCATTGTTCCACAATTCGGCGATTTCGGAAGTACCGTCCGATTTCAAGCAGTTAAAAATTGATTGGAACCAGTGTTCACTATCGTTGGTGTTCACATTTATAATGACCAAGCCCTTTGCTTCAGCCTCCAACATCCTTAAGAACATATCGGGCATTCCTACCAAGTCGGCAGGCGAGCGATTCATCGCGTATTTTATGTCAGCGTAGACACTGTGTCCATCAATCAAATTGCGGCCCTTCTCCGTGAGAGTTACGCTTACGGAGGCAAAGTTTTTGTAGACTTGTCTGACTTCATGTCTTATTTTAGGATTGTGGAAGATTTCCTCAGCGTAGGTCTTTCTGACAGCATTCAAGCCGTTCTTAGGGTCTTTAAAAAGGATCTCATCGTCTTCAATGAGCCTTCCGAGCATATCCTCTGGCGATTCGAGCGGGTCGTCGGTGGCATGGATTCTGTAGGGAACCTCGTAGTTTTTGGTGGACTGGTCCTGCACATTTTCACCGAATTCCTTAGCAGTGATGCCGAAAGCTTGAATGGCATCGTAGAGGACGTTTTCTCTGATTCTTTCGAATATGGCGTATTTGGAGTGTTTTTTGGTAGACTTTTTGTCGTCGTCTCCCTCGTCAAGCGGGTCGAGTTCTTTTACCTCATTGAGTTTCCTCAACTCAGCGGAGTAGGTGAAGTTGATGTAGTCCTGAAGATCTTGCACCGACACCATTGACTCTAGCAAGTTGACATCTTTCAAAAGATCATCGTCCACGCTCAACTGCATGACGGTGTTTTCGGTGTTCAACTTCTTTTCGTAGAGGGAGTGATACTCAATGTCAAGCTGGACAATTCTCCACAAGTCGTCCTCGAACAAGAGCTTGTGCACGTTGTTTCTGACGCCGCCCTCCGGGATGGTGATCTCCTCGGTGTAGATGAGGAAGTCACGGCGATGCGTCCAGATAAAGGGCACTTCCCAGTTGTTCTTGGAAATGAACTCGGTGACCTTGCCCACGGCTTCCACGAAAGGCACCCTCAAGGACTCGTCGAGCGAGCCCTTCTTCTCAGTGAAGAGAATGTTGCTGATCCAGGACTTCTCTCTCTGGAGCTCGGCGCCCTCCAAGTCCATGTAGTTCAAGGTGGCGCGGTACTTCTGGAACCGTTCCGGGATGTCGATGACGCGAATCATGTTGTCTTCCTCGGTGAGCATGCGGTCCTTCAACTCGGCGTGCTCAAACACCTCGTCCAATGCGGTTGGCTCGTCGTTGTTGTTGCCCTCGTCCTCGATTTCCTGGGCCTCCAAGGCCCACTCGTACTCCGCGCCATTGCCGAACACCTCGAACAACTGCTGCAAGCTCTCGCGGTCGACGCTGGACAACTTGGACGTGTCCAACTTGGGGCCTTTCAGCTTGGCCTGCTCACGGCGCTGCTGGGCCTTGTGTGCACGGGCCTCCTCCTCGTCGGAGAACTCGTCCTCCTCGATGAAGTCCTCGAACTCATCCAAGATGTTGCGTTCGTCGGCAGGCTCCTGCTCCGGGTCCGCGCGCTCGTCGGCGGGGGCCTCGTCGTCGGAAAAGAAGTCGTTGAGCGCGCCCGCTGGCCCGCGTGTCGTGCTGTCGCTGTCGTCGGCGCCGATCCGCTCGCTGTCGGCGGGCGACGCCCTCTTGAGCCGCTTGAACTTGGAGCCGCTGGCCGGGCGCGGCGCGGCGCCCGAGTTCTCGAGCAAGAGCTCCAAATCGTCCTCGTCCAAGCCGTCATCGTGGCCGGCGTCCAGGGCCCGCTCGCGCTCCCTTCTCTTTTTGTGTTTGCGGCGGTTTTTCTTCGACGAAAGCGCGTCGTCGTCCTCGTCGTCGTCCACGATGAAGCCGTCACGCACTTTCTGGATGGCCTCCTCGTCGTTGTCCTCGTCTTCGTCCTCCTCGGAAGAATCGTCCATGACGTCGTCCCCGCCGTCGGAGGAGTTGACGTCGTGGTCGGCCGCGCCGCCCGTGCGGATCTCGTCCTCCTCGAATTCTTTGGGCATGTTCTGCTGGCTGTACAGGTCGCAAGGATATGGTGCGAGGGCAGAGGTGTTGCTGAAGATTAAGGGCGTTTGGGGTTGGTCTGATGCTGGGAAAAAAGAGCGGTGTTGGTTTTTCCCAGGCCGCGCGCGGTGCACGGGTGCGGGCGGCGCGCGCGGCCTGCCCGCCGGCCTTGAATGCGTGGGTCTTTCTGAGATTTGGCGGGGGACCTCGCCCCAGGATGTCCTTCCTCCTGGCCCGCTGATTGTCGCCTCGCCCTGTGGGTGCGCTTCTATAGCGTGTGTTCCTCTAGAGCGTGTATTCCTCCAGAGCACCTGGAGACCACCGAAATCGGGAAAGAAAACTAAAGAAAGAAAAAAAGAACACGAAAAGGGAAGAAAGAACAAGGAGAAAAAACGGGAAAAAGAGAGAACAGAGAATAGAGAAGAGGGGGAATGGGATAGAAAGCACAGGGAGAAAGGGACCCAAGGGACAGAATGAGAACCGCACAGGACCGGAGGCTGAGAGGCCCCGGAACGCGCTCCAGGCTGCGAAAGGGCCACCAGAGAGGCTCACCACGGCTCACCAAGAATTGCCCCAAAAACCACCCAAACAATAACCAAAGGATAAAGCACACTCCAGAAGAAACAAGGGCAAGCCCAAAAAACTTCCGAACGGGCCACCAGAATTGACACCAAAAGTCATGCCCCAGAGGATACCCAGCAGTCATATTCCAAAGGATAGCCAACAGTCATACCCCAAAAGATACCCAACAGTCATACCCCAGAGGATACCCAACAGTCATACCCCAGAGGATACCCTGAAATTATACCCCAAAGGACACTCTGAAATCACACCCCCAAAGATACCCTGAAATTATACGCCAGAGGGTCTCCAGCAACAATCATGGCGGCGCGCTCGGGCCGGCTCGCCCGCGCCTGTTTCCAGCGCCAATCTCTTTTTTTTCGGGCGCTCTCTTTTTTTTCGGGCGCTCTCTTTTTTTTCGGGCGCTCTCTTTTTCGGGCCCCCTCAGCAGAGGGCCCCCGCGTAGCTCGCGCCAGGACTCCCGTGGTTCGCCAACATCGCGCACTCCGCGCCGCTTGCGTCAATGGCCATGGCCATGTCCAGGTCCGCGCCCGCACCCAGCGACCCGCCGGGCGGCCAGGCTTCCAGGCCATATCCGTCACTGCCATACTCGTCCATATTCACGTCGCCTGAAAGAGCAGATACGTCGCCTGAAAGAGCAGACACCCGGTCCCAGTAAGTGTAGCTGCTTTCCCGGGCTAGCTCCTCCTCGTCCTTGATCTCCTGTAGCCTCTGGCAGCCGAGCCTGTCCTCTCTTTTCCGCAGCAACCGCTGCGTCTCAATCGCATTCTCTTCAAGCACGATGCCGAGCAAGTCCCGGTACGTGAACGCGACATTCGCGTCCCGCGTCAACGCCATGATTCTGCCGAAATCCCGGAAAGGCCTCATGTTGCGCAGGCCGGGCCTCTGGTTGTATTTGCGCACAAACATGTTGAAGAGCCTCTTGACCCACTGCTGGAAATGCCACACCAAAACCGACACGGGATGGGCGTAGCGCACCACGGCCAAGCCTTGCAACATATGGTCCTTGTACGCCTCGGCCATTTTCTCCAGAATGAGTGTGTCGAGGTCCGCGGTCCGCCGTTTTTTCGGCTCGGGCTCAAGCGGCTCTATTAGTGGGTTGACCTGGAAATGCGGCTTGCGGGAGGTTTCCGCGTTGCCCTGGAGCGTGAGGTTCTCAAGCATGGTTTCTAGCCTGGCCCTCTTCATGGGCCGTAGGGGCACGTCGATGTCCGCATGTAGTCTGTGTTTGCGCATTTGGGGTCGAGCCCCGGGTTCTGTCATGTTTGGTGTGGACTGCTGCTGGGTGGATTTGCTGGCCATATAGGGCTCACTCCATGGTTCTTTCTGGAACATCGACCGTGCAGGCACTGCCTGAGCCCGATGTCCCGCTTCCCTCTTGCGGCAAGCCCCATCGGCACGACGGACCAAATTTCCTGGTCTCCCCAAAGACACTCGCCTGACCAGCCTACACTATCATGCGCATTTTCCAAACTCGAAAAGGCCGTGCTGCCGCCAAAAATGGTGGTTCCGCATTTTTCCATCAGCATTCCGAGGTTGGCGCTATGTGCAAACTATGTAGAAAGCTACAACGAGGGGACGCAGACCGTGGGGTGAATGCGCAAGGACGCTAGGCAAAAGCAGGGCCATCCGTAGATGCTCACTTGTGCGTCTCCGCTTCGAGTGACGACATGTTGCTTGTCGTGTCCTTGGCGTCGTCTGGGAGAAACTCGTTGCTGGTCTTCAGACCCGATTTGCCTGCAAGAACCTCCGAACACAACTGGTCGTAGTACGTCTTCAAAGTCTTCAAGTCGCCGATGGTCATTGACTCAAAGTCCTTGCAGTGGTACTTTGTGAGCTCGGCATACGACGCGCTAAACAAAGAGCCCTCGTTGTCATTGGATTCCAGCGCGGTGTAGCGATTCGATGAAATGCTTCGCTTCGACCTTTGGCTCGCAGAGTTATCAGCCGGAGTGTTCTCGGGTATACTGCAAAACCATTTTTCCATAGTTTGTAAGCTAGAAGACCGCTGTCCCAACGGCTCCCTATTGGAAAAAGTCGAGTCTTCGAATGGATCGTCAATTGAGTGAACTGAGGACAGAGAAATGTGAGCCATCTGGGCAACTTGGGCCGGAGCATCCACGTTAGCCGAAGATCCCGTGGCATTGTTTGCAGCAGAACTGATCTTGGTCATGAGCTCTGTCATCCCATTAGAAAATTTACTAGTCAATGTGGCCCTTCTTAAAGAAGTGCCCTGTGAATTCCACACGTGTTCAAGTGATCCTGATCTGGTTCGGTTCAGGCCGGGAGATAGCCTGTCAAAAAGGGAATGCGATCGTTTCCCTCGATTTGCGTCCGGGGTCCGGTCCACGTCAACAATTTCTTGCGGGCTTTCAGCATCAGTATCATTTGATTTCAGTTGCGCGTGGGAAACCAGACCGATTCTTTCGAAGATGTTTCGGACGCGACTAAGGCCGTAAGCTTCATTGCTATCCACATACTGCTTAATAGATGTCTCAAAATCGGTTGCGGAAGAGCTTTTTTCTTTACTCTGAAAGTAATCGGTTTTCACACCAGAGTTAGATCTCGATCGATTGACCGATTGGGAGACGGCGCTAGAAATGGTATTGAACAAAGAACTCGAGCGCGATCTGTCTGCCTCACCAAGCTCCTCATCGAGAAGATTTTGAAGGATTTTGGGGTCGTCCATATTCGGGGGCTCGTCTTTAGTAACATTCTTCTTGCCAATAATGTCATGCAAAGAGAGATCCATGAATTCACTTTCCAAGATCTCGGGCGGCATTGCGAAATCTTGCGGAGCAATTCCAACAATCGGGGTGCTCATGAGGAAATAGAGTATCGCTTCGAAATTTGTTAGGTAAAACTGTAATTCTCCCGAATTTAAATACCTATTGTTGATAAAACTCATCAAAGTTTGATCGGACGAGAATTCAGATGCGATGCCGTTATCCAAGTCTTGTCCATTCTGATCGACCGAATTAATGTCTAGATTCAACAAGTCTGCCAAAGTTCGATTGTGGATGTTCTTGGATGAAGCAGTTCGCTTGTCCATGGGATTATACGCTTGTAAAGAGCTAGTGAGCGTGAATCGCGAGGTATTTATGCAATGTGGGTCTAATGGTTTCCAGAAATTCTTGACAAACGTGAAGTGAAGAAATATGTCGAGTTGATCCCCTTCAACCTCAAGAGGGGAGTGATTGACAATGAAATAGATAAATGCAGGAAGCAAGACATCGTTGCTTATTTTAGAGAAGTTGTTCTGGTGGAAGGAAGCACATAGTCGCATGATCAACTTCTGAACGCCAACAATGTGGTCTAATTTCGATGCTGGGGTTTGAGCTTGGGAAAGCTCAATGAACGCTGCTTTGATTTCTGCTAAATGGGAGCTATCCATGGCTTCGAGGGGCAGTAACGATTTCTGAAGACCCGAAGACTCCTTTTGGCTGTCTCCATCTAGGAAGCATTCGGTTGGTAGGTTCAATTGCCGAAGGATCCTGATCTTTTGTGTCAACAAAGTCAGGATTTCGATATCTTGCAGGTCGAAGCGAAAGACCTTCTCGTATAGAATAGTAGCATCTGGGGAACTGGGAGAAGAATATAACGATGATAGTGCAAGCTCAATGGTTCTCTCAATCGTGAGAAACTTGTAGAAGCCAAACACACGAAGCTGATACAAAGCCTTTGCATCCGATCTCTTCAGTAATTTCACTGACGACGACGAGAAGTTGGCTATGGCATTGAGATAGTCGAAGGACACTGGGTCCAGTTTGAACACGTGCGACCTTTGAAGAAGTTGCCTTTTATTCGTGTTCAGCTGGGTGTAGATATGAAACACAAGGGAAACCAAGTCCTCGTAAAACGCATCGAAGAGTTCTCGCAACTCGCCCAAAGCCAACGGGTTTTGGTACCGTGGCTCTTTGAGATATGTGAGGAAGGCGGAAACCAAGCCACTTACTTTGGGGTGAAGATCTTTTGCTGTGAATTCGCTGACCTCGGCAACTAGGTCCTGCAACAAGGTAGACAGAGGCATTTGAAATGAGGTGTCCGTGGAGTCGATTTGCGTGTTTTTTTTTTTCTTGTGAGGGGCAGGATTTGCTTTTGTGGAGGAGGTCAAGAGATAGGTGTTTGGATCAATGCCGTTTAGCTTGCGTGATAAGCCAGAATATGGAGCAAGGGCCCGGCTGGATCTATCTTGCCTAAATAGTGTGTGGCCCTGCAAGCAAAAACTCCATATGACAGGAGATATATACACTGAGATACTACGGGGCAAAAAGTGATGTTTGTCAGATATCCAAAGCGCCTTGGTTGAGGAAAATGGGTATGAAACCGCGTCCAGGCGTGCGGCGCTGTGACAGGGGTGATCCGGAGCGGGCCGCAGGTGTAGGAGCTCGCTTATCGCAGGGTAATTGCGGTGACCAAGGCGGAATGTCGAGGGAGAAAAAAAATACAAATAAACCAAGAAAATGGAATTGAGAAGCGGATACGGCTCTGTGCATGTTTTTCCGAGAGGCGAGGCCGTGGATGAATTGAAAAACGTATTTGACAGTGCAAGTATTTGGGACCCGAGTGCACGCTTCTGTCATGGCACTGGACATGCACGGAAAAACAGGCTTTGGATTTGCCGTTGGAACCGAGGCGCGTGATCATCCTGGCCCGAGCTGGGCCTCTGCAAACTGGTTTCGAGCACTTAGTATTACTATTTACACGCAGCCATTTTTTTGGCGAGTCTTTTTTTTTTGGCGTCGGCATGGTTGTGCATCACACAAGTGGGACAAAAAATAGAACAAGAGAAGGCTCGCCACTTTCAGCCACGTGGAAAATGTCACCATCAATTTTCAGCCTGTTGACTATCTCCCTGGCTAAATCCCGTAGCTCTGTCAGCCCCGTCGACGTTGGTTTCACTGCCATCCACGACTTCGAACAGATCGGGTAGATTCTCCGGATTGAAGGTCCCGGCTAAATTCCCTGGATTGGAGGCTCCGGCTGGGTTTTCTAGATTGGAGCCTCCAGCCAAATCTCGTACTTGTGAAAAGCCCCTTCGCGCAACGCGCTCGGCATTGGCATTTTGCTTGCGCTTCAAAATTCGAACAAACGGAAAGTACCATGGCGGCGTGATGAGATACCTGTACATGTTTGGAAGGTCTGCCCATTGAATGGAATTCTTCCTGAAAGCTGCGTGTGCCCTGGCCCACTCCCGTTGTTTGCTCGTCGCGGATTCATCATACACCTGCTCCACGTAGAAAAACTGAATATACCACCACAAATGGCCGACCGTGAACACGAGGATGGTCTTCTGGACTATGCCCGAGGTCAGAAACACCGCGAGGGCCTGCAAGACATTGTGCCGTAGCATGTGTGATAGGAGCTTGAACTCGTTTGAGAAAAGGAACTCGAGAAACTGCATGAGGAAAGGTGCATACTTGGCCTTGATGCTTATGCCCATTATCTGGATGTAGTCTGCCGGCGTGTTCCGACAGAGAATGTAAAGAAGGATTTTCTCAAGGCCCGGGCCCAAGAGATAGAAGTTGCCTGCAATGTCGTACCGCAGAGACAATATGAGAATCGTGGCGACAATGGACATTGCTATTCTGCCAACAAAGTACGCGAAGTCCGCGGACTTCCTCCGCTCAAACTCGTCCCGGAGCTCTGCCCTCAGCTCGTTGTCAAGTCCACGTATCCAATTTTGGGGGAGATACTCGATCCGGTGCATATACCGTTCCTCCAAAGCGTTGTTTGTCCTGGCGATGATGAAAATGTACTGGACAAGCGAGAACTGTATTGGCCCGAAGAAACAAAAGCTGGTGACTAGCCTCCAAGGCTCTGCGAGCATTTTGGACGGATAGAAGATGAGTTTTGTCGGGCTCACCATGTCCATTGATGTTGCAGCAGCCATTGCCACGATAGCACAAACCCATGTTTTGGTCACGGGGAGCAAGGGTATGGCCAACGGATTTAGCCTGTCCATATTGGCGAGTGTGCTTCAGCTGGTGCGGAGAGCAGGAGCGATATAGAAGAGGTATGGGAACGTGCGCTGCTTTTCCTCCAAAGAGCGTTTGCTGTGGCTTCGGATCTGTAGCGGCCTCCGGAATCCAATCTTGAGCACTGGAGAATTTCACGGGGCAGTGCCAGGGCCGTATATGTTTGGTTTTTTTAGATTTGGGCCTATATGTTTGGCTTCTAAGATTTGGCCGTATATATTTGGCTTTTAAGATTTGGGCCTATATGTTTAGCTTTGTAGATTTGGGTCTATACGTTAAGCTTTCAAGATTTGGGCCTATATGTTTGGCTGTGTGGATTTGGGTTTGTATGTCTGGGTAATATATGCCCGTGGTTGGTGGTGCGTGTCTTGATGCGTGGGGCCAATCTGGACCAGCTGCCTGTATCTTTGCCACGTCGCAGCTGGTTTCTTTCGCGGAGGTATGGGCCAAGATTTAGTGCGCCCTATGCCGGGCGTACCCATCCCTAGAATTTTGGCTGGCAACTAGCTGGCATCTAGTTGGCGAAGCAGAAGAAGGTTAACAAAAAACGCATAGTACTCTTAAAGCCTCCGAAATTCCGCCGGGTGCTCTGGCACCGGTCGCCCTGCGCTGCCTGTTTTCCACTTGTTTTCCACGTCCACCCAATGCAGAACTCGCTCCAGGCGCAGGGCTTAGAAAACAGACCGCCCCGCGCGAGGGCACACGACTAGAGCGCGGGCGTGCATGGCCCAACCTGGCAATAACGTCTGTGCTTGCACGAGGCTAGCATGGGCTTCGGCATCTGAGAATGCGTGGCCAAAGCCCGGCATTCTGCGCTGTTTATAGAGCTATACCGTAGCACCGACAGCGCGACAAGGCCAAGTAATACGAGTTTTCTGTCAAAACCCGAGGCTCGTGCCGAAATCCAGTGTCTTGTGCCTATCCACCTGGACATGTCAGGTGTCGCGCCTCTAGGTCTGGGTGTCCTGACTGGAACCACAACGCCCGGCATGGGCCCTCCGGATATAGAGCGTGTGATTTCGCTGAAGTCGCTCTGTGTTCCTGCCAACACGCTCACGGCGCCGTATGACTACCTCCACCTGCTTCCAAGCAACAATGACAGGATCAGAAGCACATTTCTCGCGGGCATCAACGAGAGCTTTTTCCGGATCTCGGACGCCGCGGTGATCTCTGAAATCAGCGCCGTCATCGAGATCTTCCATGGGGCGTCTCTTCTCATCGATGATATTGAGGACGACTCGGCCTTCCGAAGGGGCCAGCCATGTGCCCACATCCGCTACGGGGTGCCGGCGACCTTGAATAGCGGCAACTTGATGTATTTCGTGGCCATGCGCCGGGCGTTCCAAGCCCTTCCGCCACACTATACGCACACCAAGGGCGGCCTGGCACTGGCGCTCGTGGCCTTTCGGAGTCAGATGGTGGACGTCTTTGTCGAGGAGATGGTGAACCTCCACACCGGCCAGGGGTTCGATATATACTGGAGGGACAACCTTGCGCAGCTCATGAAGACAGGCATGCCTTCCATCGAGGACTACTTGCAGGTGGTGATGCACAAAACGGGCGGGCTATTCCGTCTAGCTGTGCGCACGCTCGGGTTATTTGCCGGCGATGCGTTCCAGATGCATTCGCGGCGGTCCGAGGGCTTGGTGGAGCTCGCCAACCTCCTTGGCATCATCTACCAAATACGAGACGACTACTTGAACTTGGTGGACGAGCGGTATGCGGAGCTGAAAGGCTCCTTTGGAGAGGATCTCATTGAGGGCAAGTTGTCGCTCCCGATCCTCTACACCCTTCTTCACAGTGGCGACAACACAGTTTTACACACGCTATACGATGAGTTGAAGTCGCCGCAAGAGCGGCGAGCTGACTTGGACAGACTAGCCGAAGCGCGCTGCTTCGTGGCGGACTCGGGCGCCTTACAGTACACATACAGCCTTTTGCAGGAGTACGTTGAGAAGGCCAGAAGCATCGTTTCATTGGAGGGAACACCATGCGTGACTCTAGCTGGCTTCTTGGCGAAGTTGGCCGCGGTCAACAAACCAGAAGCATTCTCCAAGGAGCCAAAGCAATGAAAGAATCGCGAGCCCATGCTTCCTGTGTGGCCCGTCAGATCAACGGAACATTGCGGGCGTTCGTTTCCAGAAACGTCTGGCCCAATTGCCAAAAGTAGTAGTCGATGTCCCCGCTGAGAAACGAGCCGCTCTGCTGCGCCATCACTTTATCTGCCTCGAACTCGAAGTTGAAGCGCTGGCTCTCTTTCTCTATGTTTTTCGGTAGGATTCTCCACAGCATCCCGAAATCGATATGGTCAGAGTGCTGACGCACGGCGTTGACCATTTCATCGTAGCTGGTCCGCACCAAGACTTGCTGCTCGAACGTTTTTGCTTGCGTATGCAAAGGCCCCACACTCGGGAATCTCGACTCGTTTTCAAGTGGTTTAGACGCGTTTGCTTCCAGCGCGGCTACAGGCGTTTTCAGAAAGGGAACGGGTGCCTTTCCCATGAACGACGGCTTTTGCCGGAAGATTCTCTCTTTGAGCTCCTCAAGAGCAGAGCGCTTCAGAGGGGGCTTTATTTTTTCGGTCTTGGAAACATGGGTCTTCTTTTTGGTTTTGGAAGCAGCGGTCTTCTTTTTGGCCTTTGAAGCACCGGCCTTTTTCTTGTTCTTGGCTGGACTCTTTTTCGATGTGCTGGGCTTGGTGCGCCTCTGGGGAATATCATCCACGTCATCTAGCTTTTGCGCTATTGTTTTGTATTTCACGATGTCCTCGAGAATCTGCCTCTCTGGTCTCAATCGGACAGGCATTTTCCAAGCCAGCAGGAAATTCGAAAGCACGTCTGGACAGACCAGAGATGACTGTTCTGGGAGATGCCCATGTCCTGCGTGCACGGCTCATCGGCCCAGCGCATCAAGGTGTCGCACTGGAAATTCCATGGGCAAACGCTAGGCACTTTATCTGCAAACACACCACCCCGACATGTTGTACTTGATTGGCCTCGGGCTTTCGCACGAAACCGACATCACCGTGAGAGGACTCGAAACCGTGAAAAAATGCAAGAGGGTCTACCTTGAGGCGTACACGTCCATTCTTATGGCTGCGGATGTCGCTAGTCTAGAAAAATTCTACGGCAAGGAGGTGATTCTTGCCGACAGAGAGCTCGTGGAGACGGGCGCAGACCAGATTTTGGAGGGCGCCGACCAGGACGATGTGGCGTTTTTGGTCGTGGGCGACGTTTTCGGGGCCACCACGCACACGGACTTGGTGCTCAGAGCCAAAGAGCTAGGAATCGCGTACGAGTCCATCCACAACGCCAGTGTGATGAATGCAGTCGGGGCCTGCGGCTTGCAGTTGTACCAGTTCGGGCAAACCGTCTCTCTTGTGTTTTTCACGGAGTCGTGGAAGCCGGACTCCTTCTATTCCAAGGTGATGGAAAACCGCAAGATCGGCTTGCACACGTTGCTTCTCTTGGACATCAAGGTGAAGGAGCAGAGCATCGAGAACATGGCGCGCGGCAGGCTCATCTACGAGCCGCCCAGATACATGGATATTGCCACAGCCGCACAGCAGCTCTTGGAGACCGAGGAGAACCGACAGGAAAACGCCTACACGCCCGAGACTCCGTGTGTGGCGGTGTCGCGTCTCGGCCTGCCCTCGCAAACTTTCAAGGCCGGCTCGTTGCGGGAGATGGCCAGCTACGATGCGGGCGAGCCGCTCCACTCGTTGATCATGTTGGGCCGGCAGGTGCACGACCTTGAGTTGGACTACTTGTGCCAGTTTGTCGACGACAAGGCCGCGTTCAGGAAGTTGGTGGAGGCGGACCAGGAGTGGTTCAAGCCGCCTGCGTGGGTGCCGGCCGAGGAGGAGGACATGAGCGACTAGGCTCCCTGCAGAGCGCCTTGAGTTCCTCCAGAAGACTTCTAGTTCCTACAGAGCGCAATGCGTTCCTACAAAAACTTGGATTCCCCACAGAGGGTATTCAGTTCCTACGGAGACTTCTGGTCCCCACAGAGGGCACCTGTTCCTACCGACGACACTCAGTTCGTAGATCGTTCCGATATAGCAGTCTAGACAACATTCACAATGACCTTGCCGGAGGCCTGGTTGGACAGGAGCCGGTCCACGGCCTTGTGCGTGTCGGCCATCGCGTACTCGCTGTCGATGAACACCCGGACCTTGCCCTCGCTCAAGTTCTTGATGCACTTGTCGGGCCACGATCCGCCCTGGTCGAGGAGCGCCTGGCTGTAGAAGTAGGGGAGGAGGCCGAGCGTGTTGCGGACCATGCGCACCGTGACCCAGAAGCTGCCGAGCACAAGCCCGCCGATGGAGCTGGTCTTGAAGTTGGCCTTGGTGTCGCCCACGATGGACACGTAGGAGCCCGCCTCGCCGCGCGGCTTGAGCACCGCCGCCATCTGCGGGAACAAGTCCGAGTTGCCGCAGCAGTCGAGAACCACGTCGAAGGGGCCGGTCTCCTTCACGGCCTCTAGCACGGGGTTCAAGATGGAGGGGTGCTGCGTGTAGTCGATGACGGACGTGGCGCCCAAGGCGCGGATGGTGTGCTCGGTTCTGGCCGAGCACGTCACCACCACGTGCTCGGCGCCGTACACCTTCAGCGCAAGCTGCACGCAGTGGCGGCCGACCGCGGTGCCGGCGCCCAACACCAACACCTTGCCGAACGAGTTGCCCTTGGCCACCGTGTCGAACATGGTCTGTGCAGTGCCAAACACCAACGGGTAGGCTGCACCCTCCTGGTACGACATGCTGTCGGGCAACTTGCGCGCGTTGCGCCCCTCGGGCTTTTTGTGGTCGACCAAAAGGTACTCCGAGATCGTGCCTGCGCCAAGCGGCTTCTGGTACAAGCCGGCAATGCGGTCGCCCACGGCAAGGCCGGTGGCCGCTGCGGCCTGGCGGCCTATGGCGACAATGTCGCCCGAGTAGTCCATGCCAAAGCCCCGGGTGCCCCTGAAGAGCCAGGGCGAGAGGCTGTTTTTGATGATCAAGTCCACGGGGTTGAGAGCCGCCGCATGCACCTTCACCAAGAAGTCGTCTTCGGACGGAAGCTGGTACTGGCCATTTTGCACCTGGACGGGGAGCGAGTCCGCCACCACGGCGAAGTCCAGGGTTTTGTTTTTGTACTTGATGGCGCGGAATTCGAGCATGTTGTCGCGGGTTGGGAAAGAAGTGGGGGTGAAGAAAGAGATGGGGCAGGCGCAGGTCTAGTGGTTTGGCCTTGGAGGCGATGCCCATCGTGCGCAGCAAGCAAAAGTCGCCGGTCTGTGTGCAGGCCGTGCACTGTAGCCGTGGGCCGTAGGCGGGGGTCTGGCTTGTTTTGCGTGGGGCCTGTTTTTCCAGGTTCCTGGGTTGCGTTTGCTTGGCTTGGCTTGGCCTGGCCTGGCTTTTTCCTGGCTTGGCTTGGCTTTTGTGTTGTGTTTGCCCGGTGGTGGCAGAGCATGGGCAAAGCAGAGCAGTGCCTCCCATGGCTCTTATCGGGCGCATCGCTGATAACAACCGGCACAGAGCCCTAGGGTGCGGAGATATATATCCTCCGTGTTGGAAAGTATTGGCCCCGAGTTGCACGGCTAGTGCCGTTTTTTGGCCCTTCGCCTCTGATCCAGGCGAAGCAAAACACGTGCACTCCAAGCGGGCTTTTTTTGTACACAAGATGTGTGGCCGGGCGGCCCTGGCTCTGTGGCTGGGCTGGCTTGCACCTAGGCCTTGGAAAGCATACGGCCCGGCGCCACACCGAATGTGGCTGGCGGCCCCAAACAGCGGTGTGTGCAAGCCAAAGCTTCGGGTCCGATATTCACAGAGTTCCCTGCGATTTTCTTGATTTGACGGGCCACGCCCCGGCTTCTGGAACACCGTGCAAATATACCCGGTCCTGCAGACGCCCGCCTGCCGTGGCCCACGGTCATCATCATCATCACGTCTCCACATGAGCGTTTTCCCACAATCATCCCTCCACATAAGCGCATTCCCACAAACGCCCCTCCAGGCAAACAGCCGAAGTTCCAATTTGCTCAAGACCCCCTTTTTGGAACCCTCTTCCCCAGAAACACTCCCACTTTCTCTCGCACATAAGTGCGCGCTCTTGTCAACTTCCATCCCAACTTTCTCCATACTAACCTGAATGACCCCCGAGCGAGACGCGTACCTCCGGCTCGGCAAGACTCTCACCGAGCGGCATTCGGACCAGCTAGCCATCCAGCTTTCTGTGTTCCAGTCTGCCCTCATAAACTTCGGCGTGGAGCACGGCGATGCCATCCGCAACAACGCCGAGTTCAGACACAAGTTCACGCAAATGTGTGCGCTGATCGGCGTGGACCCGTTGGAGCTTCTCATCATGACCGACTCGCGGGCCAAGAAAACCGACGGTTTCTTCGTGGGGCTTGGTGTGCGGATGGTGGAAATCTGCCAGGAGACAAGGAACATAAACGGCGGCCTCATATCGTTCAAGGAGCTCCACTCGAGGCTCCAGGAGTCCGTCAGCGTGCCTCTCGCGGTGTCGGAGGCAGATGCTCAGAAAGCCTTGGACTCGTTGGTCTCCTTGGGAAAGGGATACGAGACGCTTTCGATCAACAACAAGCAGTGGATCAAGTTCTTGGGGCCCACGGGCTCGCAAAGCATCTCGAACGACCAGAAGAAGGTGTACGAGCTCTGCGAGTTCATGGGAGGCCATGTGACCTACCGCTTGCTACGGGACAACTTTGGCTGGGACAAGGTGCGCACTAACACTGTTGTTGATGAAATGATTATGAACGGCTTTCTCTGGGTCGATGCCCAGGGCCCCGGGGGCGCGACTCAGTTTTGGGAGCCCTCGTGGATCTCAAAGACGGAATAAGCCCGGTCCGCCCTATTGGTTTTTCTTCTGTTGAGCCGTGCGGAGCTCCTCCCAGACGTTCTCTTCGATGTCCCACAACATCCAGTCATACCACCCAAGGAGGGCCGGGAACACTGTGACTAGGTGCCACAACGAGTGCGCATCGATCAAGTCGCCCAAAATGGGCGCAAAGTCAAAGATCTCAAGCGACATGCCGAGAATCACTATTCCGCAGAGAAGAAGTGGATACAACGAATAGAGTTTGGCCGACTTGGCAAAGAATGACCCGAATATGATTCGCCCGCGCTGGATGTAGTTTAAGTGGGTCAAATCGATTGCCCTTTCTCCGCTAATTTCCTGCTTGTAGAACTTTGAGTATAGCGAAAAACACGTGAGGCCCCATACCACGTTTTGTAGGACCCCCACAACAATGTTCGCTCTCATGTTATAAGTGTACAGCCAGTCGGTGACAAGTCTACGAAGGTGATAGACGTACGCAGTCATGCAAAGCGCCGTCCATATCCATGAGTAAGCTTGTCTCGATTGGAGATATAAGCGCAAGTAGCGATATCCGATGGCGTACAACCCGGTAAGAACAGTGAGCCCCGCAAAGTAGTAGTCTAGTCTCTCTGTAATGAGGAAGTCTCGGATATGAAATACCGTCGAGCATGTCCAAGCACACATGGTGACGAAAGCGAGGAGCTGAACATTGCGCAATACTGGATTCAAGGCCGCCCTTTCTTTCGGCATTCTTTGCCTCAACTGGCTAACTTTCCGAAAGCCTATGAAGTGGGGAACAAAATTAGCCACGGAGAACAAGGCAGAAAAAAATTCCTGAATTCCGTAAACACGAACGAACGGCCACTTTCCATGGAACTGATACACTTCGTTCCCATTGTCTTTTCGTTCTCTTGTGATGATTCGTTGGCATTGGTAATCGCAATTGGATTTACAGTCCCACAAAAGGAATCGAAGATGTTGAGGCAACTCTGTATCAAATTTCCAACTTGGTTCATACCGCCGAAACTCGTAGTTCCTCTTTTGTAAGGGCTCTCTATATTGCTCTTGCATGACGTGATAGGGATTATGGTAGCATGATATTTGTTGGCATTGAAAGAGGCAGTCTTCGAATTCATCTAGCCTATCTCCCGGTGAAGAAATAACTAGTTTGCTGATAGCCAAAAGTATCAAGGCTTTGGAAGCCAAGCTTGTGGAAGAAGCCATGTGTTCCGACTATTGATGGCAGCTCGCGATGGTGGCTTGAGAGTTCTGTATCGTGGTGCATATAATGTTCGAATAGACCAACTATTGATATGGACGTTAGAAATGTATACGTCGGCTGAGTTTGTATTTAGCCCATAAAGCGAAAGCAGGTATACATCAATGGTTAAGGGAATCTACTTGATAATTCGTTTTACACATCCAAAGCATACCGTGAGGGAATCTTATGGTTTCTTCGGTGAAGTATCGATTTACTTGAGGCGGAATATAACAAATAGAATTGTATCTCAAAAAACTTAAAAGCATCTATTTTATGGCTGTAACTCAAATTTTAGTGATTTTTTGTGACTTTACACATCCCATAGTTTTTGATTTGTTGTGTGTCATAAATTACTGTGTTCGTCTCACAATTATTGCAGTCAATCAATAGACGTCCAGTGACTTAGTAGGTGAAATAGTACAGTGCTTGGGATTTTATGCCGACTCGCTCAGTGAGCACATTAGTTAAAGTTGATCTCTCCTGAAAGGTTTTGGCAAATTGAGACACCCTTTCATGGGTCATCAGTATCTGAGAGATTGACTTATTATAGTTTGGTGCAATGCAAATTTTGTAAGCTGAATATCGAACCAAGACAGTCTTCCGAAAAGCACTGAAAGCTTCAATCCATGATGATAAAGTTTTATTGATTATAGCTCAAAAAAAGATAGAGCAAACCAAGCCCCCGAAAGAAGGCTATGTCCAAGAAAGTCTGTGCCACTTTCGCGAGATTTTTAAAACCATCTACACACCAAGAAAATTGTATGATCGAGACATTCATGCCTATTTGACAATC